TGGTGGTGGCGCACAGAAGAAGGAGCCGGTAGGAGAGAAATTGACGGGTGGCGGTGGCGGGTGGATGTCGGTGCTGCCATTCGGAGTGGCAACATACAAAATGCAGGGGGACATATGGGTGAATCCTGAGTCTTGGGATTCTGAAAGGCTAACCTTTCTTTATGGTGCTGCTGATTCTTGGCTGAAGCAACTCAATCTTTATCACCATGACTTCAACTTCTTTACCTTTCACTCCGCCCTGTAAATTTCTGAAACAGATTAAAAAATTGAGAGGTTATAGTTATGTCAAAGGAGATACTTGGGGCTGTTCCCTGCGGTCTAGGGGAAGAAAGATAGAGCCAAAAGCAGAGTCACATGAGCGCATCTCACCTAACTTAATCTCTGGCCTCTGTTATTTTTTTTAACCTTTTTTTCTTTTTTAGTTTAGATTATTTCAAATAATTTAGGGGATCAAATGATAACAAGGAAGAGGTAGGAGGGGAGTCGTATTCTATTTTATCTGTTCAGTCCCTTAAATTATTTGAAATAGATCCCAATCATTTTCTCATTTTTTGACTTTACAGGGTTGCAAGAGGTCAGTGTTGGTTAAAAAAAAAAAAAGTGTATAACTGTGAACATTGAATCATGAAAAAGAAATATGTTTTTCTTTTAGTTGCTGTTTTTTTTTTGGGGAAAGAAAGGATTATTTTGGAGGTGATTTCACCATTTAATTTTTTTATTTAGTTCCCCTGTTATCACGGGGGTGTTTGTTTATGTTTTTTCCTCCTGTCTCCTGTTATATATACGTCATTTGAACCTTGCATTTTTGTTATTTTTTAAATCTGAAGACAATTATTAAATTAATACCAAGGTACAGTGCTTGCTTATCAATTTGGATCCCGCTTTTGTGGGATTTTATTAGTATATCTATATATATAAACATGAAAGTTTATATTAATAATGAGCCATTACCAAGTTTTTGTGAAATATAAATCCTAAAATAGCATTCCGGAATGCAGATGGTGATCCTTATATTTAGAAAAGCCGAAAACAGAGGCCTCATGACCCTACCATTATTTGAAGTTGGAACCAATGGACGCATCTTGAAGGACTTTTATATTAGCAAAAATTTTTAAAAAGGAAAACAACGTACTCTGTTAACAGTAATCACCTACTTTATTTTTCTTAATCAAAACGGGGAAAGCCTAAGACTTTTAAGTTTCAATTATAAGGTTGCTCAAGTCCAAGCTTTGGTACTAACAGAGGTTTGATTTAGAGTCCAATAAAAGAGGCTAATCATTTATAACGTGACGAATTAAGATTTAAATTTTTATTGAAAGAGGAATTCACATTTAGTGTGTGATACTATTTTAAATAGAATTATTTTTAATAAGAAGATATCTATGGTTCAAGAAAAAAAAAAAAAAGGAGGTCCAACCTTTGGTCTAATTTCATTCCATAATAGCTTGCACGTGAAATCTCCAGCCAATGACCCATCAGCAACCCATTACGGCAGTACCCGCCCAACTGGTTTGCTTGTTTGGGCCAGCAGTCTATAACCGTCCCACAATGAGAAAATGTTCAGATATAAATCAAACTATGGTTTTAAAAGTGATTTTACGATATACGAAGTAAATATGTAAAAAAAATTTTATCTCGATTTATAGAAAAATACTTTTAAAAAAGTTGTTTTTTGCTAATTCCAAACACCCCTGATCTTTAAGCATGAAAAGTACTCTAAGTGCAAGTTATTAGATGCATTGAAAACAAAAAAGACGTTTGGCATAGTTTTAAAGGCAACTGATTTTTTCACTTAAAAGCCATTTTAAAGTTTTTAAATGTTTTTTCCCATAAAAACTTAGGGCACTTCTATCAAGATTAATCCAAACAAGTTTGTGTTCTTAAGACAAAGAACTGCGGATGCATTATGATACAGGAAAAAGTTACTCTAACATCCCATATAACACTGTAAATTATTCTGAACTCTCATGAAATTATTAAATTATGGTAAAATCCCACAGGTCTTAAAATTAGTACTATTTCTGATCCTTAATATAAGAACTAGTTAGCTAATTTTAACAGATTAAGAAAATTAGTTAAGTTAGTTATTTGTAATAAATAAGTGTTTTCTTTCTCAAAATATTTTTGTTAATCAAATACTCCTCCGGTCCTTAATATAGGACCCAATTGTTGAGTTGGTTTTGGTCATAAATATAAGATCCATTTCTCATATTTATCAATTTTCTCTAAATTACCCCTATGGATATTGCCCCAATCATAATCAAGTAGAAGAGGAAAAGGAGGTATTAAGAAAGATGATTATGGTATTTTAGGAAAAACATGTCATATTTTTTATAATTAACTAACTTAACTAACTTCCTTAATCTAATCAAATTAGTTAAATGGGACTTATATTAAGGACCGAAGGAATATATTGGTTAGAATTATCTTTATTATAAGGACCATCTTAGACAAAAATAAATAAATATAAGAAACAAAATATATTAAATTTTATATTTATAATCAAAATAAAAATTAAATAAATTCTTATATTAAAAACCAGGTTTTGTAGCATTGGAAGTCTATAACTCCCGCTGCTGGCAAGCTGTGGGCACTGTCGGTGGAGCTCCAACGTCATGGCAATATTTGGGCCAATGACCTCTTAAACACCAAAAGCAATATTACCATGACTTGAACAGTGTAGTAACATCCGCTGATGACTGTTTTATTAATTGCAACCAACAAATTTAGCATAAGATATTAAAAACTGATCTTACAACTTTTATCCGTCAGTTGCATAAGAAAAAGAGAAGACCCTATAACTCTATTGACAACTATTTTATTAGAATAAACAGTTTCAGCATTAAAAAATTGATAACCAATATTGTTTTTGGTAACATTGTTTATCAAGATTCAATAGGTCATAGGTTCAAATCTCCGGTTACCTCTTCAAGGTATTGAGTTCTACTATAATAAAAAGGTGTTTGGGTTAAAACGAAACCATAATTTTAAAAGTAATTTTATGGTATACAAAGTAAATATGTGAAGAAGTTTGTCTTAATTTATAAAAACAAAAAAAATACTTTTTAAAAATATTTTTATAGTTTTCCAAACATTTCCTAAAATTTCAGTAACAGTGAGGATTCTAACAATTAAAGGTGCTTATGAGATGGGACTGGCTTGTCTCAGTGAATAAGGACGAATAAGGACGGGCCCATTCCATTCCCGTCCGTTTACAGAGGAATGTCTTGACCCCATCCTAACTAATTTTTTCAACCACTAAAATTAGGCCAATACATTTGTCGTTTTTTTTTTTCATTTTAATGTTGTAATGTTGGGCCTCTGAAGACAAATTTATACAAATAGGCCAATTTAGAGGGTGTTTGGGTATTATCCCAAACCTTGGTTTGGGAAAAATTTGTCCAAACACCCATTAAAAATCAATAACTATGGTTTTGACTCAAAAACTATGGTTTTATGAGAAGCATTTTGCATCTGCTTCTGGAAAAAAAAAGGAGAGTATCAGCTGGTTTTAGGAGAAGGATTTTGACCAGACATATATACTCTTAGCTCCTTCACTGTTGAGAGGTAGTATATTGTCTTCGGTCCTTCACTGTTCAAAGATAGTATTTGGTCTTCGGTCTTTCACTGTTCGAGGGAGCATATTGTTTTTTTTTTTTTGGGACCAAACAAGAGGTAGTACGTTATTATTTATTGTTTTTTCAGCTCTTTTTTTACCAGAAAATATTTAAAGCAAATTAATATTTTTCTGTTAGAAAAAAATAATTATATTTTTATAAACGTATTTAATCTTATAATTTATAAATATATATACACATATTAATTATTTATTAATTATATTATCTTATATATTATTAATTATGTTAGTAAAAATTATTTTATTAATAATTTTATTCCTTCAAATTAAAATATATTATAAAATCTATCCATTATATAATTATCATATTAACTTATGCCCTTTTAGTAATTTGCATATGTAAAAAAGTTTTCTGGTAACAACTATCCAAACACTCTTACTTCTCAGAATCACTTTTTTACAAAATCTATTCTTCACAAAATCTATTCTTCTCAGAATCTATTCTCTAAAAGTTATTCTCCAAATCATAGTTTGGTTTTATCCAAACACCCCCTTAGTTGGAAATAAAAAATGATTATGTGGAAAGGTTATATACAACTAGATATATATAATTATCATATGTATAATTCCTACCTCCTGTGTGTGGGAAAAAAACACTATTAGTTTTCGAGTTAATCAAAGCAATCATCCAAGGGAAGCTAAAATGAAGCACCAAAGTACAAAGAAATCAGAAACAACGCTAGTTGCTTCATCATTCTACATTTTGGCCAAAATTAAAAAAAAAAAGCTTAATGCCATTAATCAAATTGGGGAAATGTTGTGGGAAAAAGCAAAATCGATCAACGCCACTTTTCCTGTTGTTTTCTAAAAATTTTATTGTTCATAAATTATTTACTCCATCTTATCTTATTTATAATCTTTAAATTTAAAATGAGATATGGTTTATTTTATAAGTTTTAATTTGAAATTTGACTAAACATTTAATATATTTTTTTAATTTTGTTCTTAATTATTTATTCTCTCCCTTTTATTATACCTCTTATTATATTTTCTCGTATATTCTCTTTCATTATTTTTTAATTTATAAAAATATATTAGAAAATATATTTCTAATATATTTATTGTTTTTAAAATTAACTACTTATATGTTATTTATGAATTAGTTATCTAAAATTTATAATAAACACACGAGAGAGCACGATGGACGTTTAACGACAGCTAGATTCCCCTCGATGATCTGTGGGGGAGAAAAAAGGCGAAACGGGTTTGAAAATTTTCGTTGACCGTTGAGCTAATTGGTTATGGAATGCTTTAACCGGACCAAAATAAAATGCTCCGTTTTCCAGGTCCCAATTAGCTTTACCAGAAATAAAGAAAATCCCTCCACGCGCTTTCTTGATGATTCGTCTTCCTCTGCGGGTATTTTGTCCTTTACAGTGAACCAAGTGATGGGCACTAGTATGAGAACCTGATTCGAATTCGGAAATTTCCTTTTCTTGTCTTCTTTTATCCCTCTCGCTCTCGCTCACTGCCACACCAGTATCACTCTAGTTTGTGTTACTGTCTCGGTTATCTCATTGGCGGCGAAGAGCTTGTGGGATTCGAGTTCTTGGGTGTGAAATGGGTTTAGTTTTAGGTTTGATTCTATTTGGATTTGTTCTTGGTGTGGTGGCCGTCCTTGCTGCGGAAGCTCTTGGAGCGTTCTTGATCATTAAAAGGTTGAGCATCAAGGCTAAACAAGACGAAGCCGTGATAATATCGAAATCGAAATCCCACGAGGGTACTGTGGAGCTTGATACCCAGCAATCGTTAACTTTTGCAGAGAATAAGCAGGTAGTTCTTTTTGATAGTGGGCTTTGCTAAGATTTTTGTTGTCGTGTGGTTGTCCGTAAATGAATGATCAGAGGTTAGAAGAAAAAAATAAAAATAGAATCGGGTTTGTGTAGATTCTTGAGCCAATTAGGGTCAGCTTAATTGCTAAGACGGCGAATTTAAATGAGAGATGATGTGTTTAGGTTTTTACTCTACTATTATTTTTTGTTGGTTTGCTTCTTTAGCTGATTTGGGACCAAATAAGCAATTCTTTAGCGTAGTTTTATCTGGACTTTACCATCATCATCTCAAGGCCGGCGATGACATAATGCATCAAGTTCCGTGAAACTGCCTTGACAGTTTGCTTTTTATGTTTCTTTAGTCAGGTGAAGTTTTGTATTTAGCAGTAATTAAAAAATAGAAAAAGAGTTCAGTGATAGAACGTTTTGCACCAGAGAAGATAGAATAAAATGATATAGTGGCGACAGAGGGAAAAAGTAGCTGCCTACAATGTAATAAGTAATAACACCGATCACATAGTTACTCGTAGCTACCTTGTTGACCGCTAGCTGACTTCATTAAATGCTCTGACAATCCGCTGATTTCCATGTAACAATTATCATCCCCCTTCAAAAGCAATCGTAGACTCCCAAGAGTTTGTAACAGGTGCTGTAGTGGGAAAACGGGAAACTGACTCCTAATAGGTGTAAGTTTTTCCCCTGAAGCATCTTCGATGTTGTTTTGGGTCCATCAGATCAATACCCGAGTCATTGGTAAATTGCCACTCACTAGTTTCATGGGGCATTGCCTGAATATCAACTTAACTTTTTAATGCTTCTTATTTTAGCTTGTGACACGCTCCCACATAGACTGTTGTAGGGGTCTCTTAAAATTGTTCTTTTTCTAACTCTAAAGTTAGCTTTATCTCTCAGGTTGTGGTTTAAGTTCTAGTTTCAGTCATGCTGGTTTCTTACACACTCATTTCTGAACATTGCGTTTGCTTGTGACATGCTCCAACATATACAATGCTGTAGGCATATCATTGAGATCATACCTTTTCTAAATCTAACCATTGACTTTATCTTTCAGGGTGTGATCTGGGTCCTAGAATCTGACAAAAGTCCAGAAATCCCACAGGACAAACCATCCAAAGATAAAAGAAGAAAAAAAGAAATCTTGGAGGTTTCTCCTGTTAAAAAATATGGAAAAATTAAGGGGCAATCCCTGATTCTGACAGACCCTGATGGTTTGCACACAGAAATTCAGCTGAAGGGATGCATAGTGGAAGCTGTCTCAGCAACAAGCCTACCTTCAAAAAAATGGTATTGTGATCTGGATGCCTCGTCTCATTGGGTGGTATTCTATCATTTGAATCCATGGTTGACATCTTGTCGCTTGCTTTTCACTTTAAATTCAGTAATATTGTCTTTATTGGCCCTTCAGAGGATGTGGATATTTTCCACTAAACTGCCCGTTGTTGAATGAATGTTATAACTATAGCTATTGCCCAGCAAAAATAGCATTTCTCTGGACCCTAACATGTAATAAATATACTGCTGCCAACTTGAGCAGAACCGTGATTTGTTCAAAACCTGTTTTGCAATTGATTATGCTAGACTCGGATAATAGTTTTTCCTTGTATAATTAATTCCAGGAGCTTTTGTTCTTTTCAGAAGGATAAATATTGTGCATATAATTTTGGCTCAACAAATGATTTACCTGTTGACACATTTTGAAAATGGATTTCTTTGAAACTTCCTATGATGCTTAATTTAACATGGAGGAATGACTTTTACCATGTGTTTGCTTACATGTTAGTTGCCTTAATATACTGGTCATAGATCTGATTATGGGTATCATGGGTTCAATGACAGTGAAATGATTCTTCTCACATTTTTCTATCGTAAATGTAGAGAGGATATGTGCTCTAATTTTTTATCTTATTGCTGTGGATCTTGCAGGGCAAAAAAGTTTCCAATTAAGGTGGAAAGCAAGACCTCTGCCATATACAATGGAAGAAAAACCTTTTATGTGTACCTTGAAACTTCCTGGGACAAAGAAGCATGGTGTAAGGCACTCCGTTTGGCTTCTTGTGACCAAAAAGAGAAGGTTGAATGGTTTGCTCAGTTGCATGAAGAGTTCCGTAGTTATGTGGCATCTCTGAATGCTGAATATAATACTTTTTTGAAACCAACGGTGGGGTCTGGCGTTGAGGTGGTAAATAGGGCTATCAAACCTGATGGTGCTTCCTCCAAGGTTCAAAAGTTTCTGCAAAAAATTGCAAAAAAGTCCTCCAGAGTTGGTTTGGATAATAAGTCATCTTGGTCTTCATTGTCAGGCCGCGATGAAAGAAGGAACGCTGAAAAGCTTCATGCTTGTCAAGATGCAGATATCTCATTGAGGGACGCACCAATGGCAAGGACTCTTAAGCATCCCATGGAAGACAACGCTCCACTGTCATCAGCTACATTATCTCATTCAGGAAGCCAGAGTCATGCTTCTATCAGCTCTGACGTTGATTCTGATGAGAAGTTTAGTATAGACGAGGGAACATTAGGTTGGAATTTGTTGATTTCTCGGTTATTTTTTGATGCCAGAAGCAATGCTAAACTGAGGGAATTCGGGCAAGCAAAAATTCAGGTTTAAGATTTTCCTAGATGACACTATATTATTGTGACTTTGAGTTCGTTGATGCAGTCATTGAACTTGGGGTTTGATGGTCAGAGCACATTACTCTCACCTGTTAGGTCCCAAGTTTGAATTGGTGATGCTGCTACCTCGAACCTCTGTTCATTGATGTATGTTTGGGGAAGATAGAGGTGTTCTTGTTTAAGTATCAATCTCTGTGACCTTTTCTATTTTTTGGTGTTTAATTGATTAGTTACTCATTCTTATTCGAATAATCAGAAAAGTATATTTTATGCCTGGAGCAAGTGGCCATTGAACTTGACACTTTATTTATTTATCTTTTGCATTGTTTCAAACTTTGTTGATTTGTACTTGCCTACATATTTTTCTCAAGCTTAGCACATTAGAAATGCTGGAGTAATGATATTTTGAATCATATTTTTAAAACTTTATTTCTTATTTATTTTTAAAACTTTATTTCTTATTTTACAGTATGATAAATGTTGGTTTTTAAAACTTTATTTCTTATTTTATAGTATGATTAATGTTTGCCTTTCTATTGTTTTGCAGAAGGCATTGTCATCTATGAGAACTCCCAGTTATGTAGGTGAAATCATCTGTACAGGCTTCCATACTGGAAGCCTCCCACCTTGTATTGTTGGGATGAGGGTTCTTCCTATGGAAATGAGTGAGGTATGGGGCTTTGAAGTTGACATTGAATACTCTGGTGGTGCACTATTAGATATTGAAACAAGGCTTGAAGTTGGTGAACTAGATAATGCTCCAGGGGTAGAGGACTCAGATGCAGACTCTCGTGATGCTGTAGATGTCTCATCAGATCTACTTCAAGGTCTTGAGGATCTTGGAAAGCAATTAAATCTTTCAGATGGAATGGGTGATTCACAAGATCCAAAAGGAGATGATGAATTTAACACTGGTTAGTATGTGTCCGTATATAACTTTTCTCCAATGGGTTTTCTATTCAAATCAAAGCCTGTCAGTTTTCTTGACTCTTGGATGTGGTTTGGCCCTGAAAATGGGGATTAATAGATCCCAGAGTGGTAGCTTTTAGAACACCTTTCCATGTAATTAAAGTTGGCTATTTGGGATCCGATGTGTTGATCTCAAGCTTCTCAAGTAAGGTGTAATTTTCTTGACAATTCAGCAAGGAAATATACAAATTATGAAATTCACTATTCTCTTCGTCATTTTTTCAATGGTGATCTGTATTTTAACTACAGCCACCATTGATGTATTAACTTGTATCATTGTGGCTGCACAGGATTAGTTATTCAATCATCTGTTTGAAGTTTTTAACTGCAAACTGCAATAACAAATAAAGGTGGTTTATCTGTGATTTGTTCTGCTTGAAATTTGAGCCATCCATTTTTCATTAAGACACATGGTTCCAAGTTTAAATTCCACTTATCTCTTTCTTTGTTGCATGTTTGCATCACACTTCTTTTGCGGAAAAGATAGTTTCGTGACTTTTGCTATAGATTTTCTTTTTCTTGTTTATACGGGGGGGGTTCTCATCAACTATTTCCAGTCCTGCTTTTCTCTTCTCTTTCTAATCAAGTTTCCGAGAGAGAAAATATTTTTTTTATGTCCAAGAGCATGGAACAAAACATGTAGTTTAACAACGTGAATTGGTTCCATGTATTTTTCCTCTGCAGATATTTCTAAGAATGTTAAGAGCGCCACATCTTGCTCAACCTATGGATCTAAGTGGAAATCTATGGTAAATTCGATTGCCAAACAGGTTTCACAGGTACTGTCCTTTTTTTAGCTCGTTCCCATCCTTATTGTCATTCATCTCTTGTTTTTCCTATCAATAAAGAAAATTATTGATAAGAAGAGAGGATAAAACAAAGTAAGAAAACAGAGGACGAGGAACCTCCCTAAACAAACAGCAATGCAAAAGCAAACAACCCATAATTTAACTCAGAAAAAGCCTTGCAGTACCTTTGAAGATTCCCTAGTGATACTCGCCTAGAAAAGCCATTTGCAGAAACCAACAGAGAGGACATAAGGATAACGCTCTCTAAAGAATATGTGGCAGAAGGAATTGCTGATTAAACATCCGAGTATTGCATTCTGGACTAGGACATCACAAAACCATGCCGGACACCAGAGAACTATATACTTCTTTTGCCTCTCAAACCCGATTCTTCTTAAAGAAACCTAACATCCTATTCCAAATAAGCTGAGCTGCTTCACAGTGTAAAAAGGAAACAGAGAAACAAAAAAGGTATTTCCTGCAACAAAGCAATATATCAAGTCTAACTTTACGATTCCTTGAAGAATGAAAATTCCGAGAAGAATGGCTAATTTTATCCAGTTTAAAAGTGAAAATTTGGAGCATCATAGCAAAGAAACCTGAGGCTGTGAGTTAAATGGCCAAATATTAGTTGTTATGCTGGGTGTGCTGATTCCCATACTATCTATTTGCTGTATGTTGTGCATGTGTTTGATATGCATTTTCTTGTGCCACATCTCCTATGTTTAGATGTTTCTCAAAACCCTTAGCTGTATATGACTCTTACACCTCGCTGTCCCTAAAATCACGCTTTAGCTCACCATTAACTATAATAGCCAAAACTCTTTAACATTGTAATTTGGTTGTTTGAAATGGCTCCACTCTTCTCTCTCCTTTTCCGTCACATTAGTTAAAATGCATGCCTTCCCTAGTTGAAGTGTTCAACCCCGTTATATGATGACAGTTCAATTGGGCTCTTGTTTTTTTCCCCTCACAAGCAAATATGGAGCTGAACAAAGGCTCTATGGTCCTAATTAGTTTGTTCACATCAACTTTTTGTTAATGCCTTTTGTAGTCCAAGGGCAATAATTATTGGAGAAATAGTTTTTATTTGGCCTAACCTTTTTCCTTCAATTATTTCTTGTCGAAAGGTTCCTTTCTCTTTGACAATAGGAATAGCATCGCTTAGGGGAACACTGCGTCTACAAATAAAGCCTCCTCCCTCTGATCAATTGTGGTATAGTTTCACGTCTATGCCAGACATAGACTTTAACTTGGAGTCATCTATTGGAGAACGCAAGATAACTACGGGACACTTGGCTCTGTTCCTGAGCAATCGAATTAAGGTATGATAGATCTTCCCGTTTAATTTATAATAACTCGTGATAGGGTTCTAACTTAAATATCTCGCAATTTTCATTTAGTTTTTATCCAGGGTGTACATGTCTTGCTCATTGCAATGTCCTTTGCATTTGACCTATTTGCAAAAAAAATTCACATATAGCAAAAGTATCTCTATGAGGATGTGCAAGAAGGAATTTTTCTCTGGAAATGCAAAAGGAGAACTTTAACTTTCAATTCCAGTTCCACTTGCAGACTGAAGCCTTATCCGCTATTGCAGGCACTAATTCGGGAAACTTTAGTACTTCCAAATAGTGAAAGCGTATGCGTTTCGTGGATGCTTGCTGAAAAAGATGATTGGGTGCCCCAGGAGGTTGCTCCATTCAAATGGGTTAACCAAGAATCCAGAAAGGAGACTTCCACTTCAAGCGATGCCCCATCTGAGCCTCTGGATAATGCAATTGATAATTCAGAGCAGAAACAGAAAAAAACCAGATAGCGTTGAATCAAGTCAAGAGCCAAGCAGGAAATCAGCAGATTCTTTAGCGATTGCATCCAGTCCTACTAGTATACCAAGAAGCAGAAGTCTAGATGGTTTGACAACACCTTTGCTGGGGGATTACAAGCCCCATGAAACTAATGAACAGAACTTGGAAGATCGCCAGCTAGCAAGGATTGCAGAACAAGCATCCGATCCCATTGAGCGGGATGACTCAAGGCGAAGGAAAATGGGGACACGAGAAAGAATGCTTGATCTTAGGAAGAAGATGACTGAGAAATTTGAAGAAAAGAAGCGTCACATTGAGGAAAAGGGGCGGAACTTTGTCGACAAGATGCGGGAACGTGAGAGATATTGACCACATGAACAAAATGCATATATTTGTTAATGGTTAAGTTAGATCATGAAGGATTTGATTGCCAAGCTGTACATTCTCTTGGTGCTTAGAAAACATCAAATAAATTTCGCATTATATTTGTTCATTTGTTGACTGTACAATATTCTTGACCCAAGAAATGCCATTAGAAATCATATTCAATGCCATTTGTGCTTAGAAATGCTCTGGGAGATGTTCATATGTTCGCTTTGGCATTCACTTTCATTTTCTTATTTCAGTTATAAAAACTATATCATAAATTATAGCTTTTGTGGATTTAGGTTCTGAGATTTGCTTTGAATATGATTTTTCAAAAAGTGCGAAGTCTGATTACTGCGTGGAGTCTCATTCTATTAATTACGGTCAAGATCTAAATTCTGGGTTCAAAGTTTCTCTTTCTTGTGGACTTGTAGCGGTCGGTTTGGAACCTCTTCTCTTCTGATCTTTTTTCATCTTCTTTTTTTTTGACCGTTAGATTAATATTTTAACCATTCAGATTTAAATTTGTTAAAAATATTATTAAAATATTAAATTATAAAAATAAATAAATAATAAATTACAAACTATATTAAAATTTAATTTTAATGAGTTGCAAATGCACTAAATGTTTTTTAAAAAATTTTTATAAATAGTTTATAAAAAATTAAAATCTAAACCCTTAAAATATGTTAATCTAATAGTTAAGAAAAAAAAAAGGATGGAAAGGAAATATGAGAGATTCCCAACCGTGCAGCGGTTGCCCAATCAAGTGCTGCAGGTCTCTTTGGCTTTTTATTATTTTAATATTTTCCCACCCTAATACCCCGCCAGGCCGATTCTATCCCGGCTCCCCAACGGCCGCAGGTCCCTCTTCCCTCTAAAATTTTTCTATCCTTCCCCCCATTTCTGTTCTTTCTCCGTGCAGTGGCCGCCGTTCACTCCAGTCCGTAGCAGTGAAAGCTCGTGCGCCCTCGAACTGTAGCTTGTTGGTGCCCGTTTCATGTAAGCTCCAGTCTCAACATAAGCAGGATGGAAAGTAAAACTTAAACAAATTTTATAATTATTGCTATGTGATAATTGTGTTAAGTTAGTGTATCTTCAAAACAAATCCAGGTTTGAAGTTTGCGCTCTTGAAATTTGTAAAATTGCACACAAACTCGTAAAATACTCCTTTTTATCTTTAATATAAGAATTTATTTAATTTTTATTTTAGTCTTAAATATAAGATCTCAATCTATTTTGTCTTTCATATTTATTCATTTTTTCCCAATATAGTATATGTAATAATAGTAGTTTTAGCCGATACACTTGATTAATAAGAATATTTTAAGAAAGATAATATTTTTTTATTACAAATAACTAATTTAACTAGTTTTATTAATCAACTCAATTTAGTTAACTAGCTCTGATATTAAAGACATGAAGTAGTATTAAATTTCTAAAACTGGGTAGTGTCCGAAGAATTCTTGTCAAGAGAGAATGAGGATAGCATGTTTGCACGTTAACCACTGATATGAATATTTTAACTATTAATATTAGTTTTTAATGAGTGGGGCAACATTTTTACGTTTTCAGATTTCAGAGTGACATTCAACCCGAAAATTTTTTTGCGGTAATGTGGACATTGAACTTAAAATTTTTTTTTGGGACAATAATGATCCAAAACAAAAATTTTTAGACAAATTTGTACCTTAACCCATTTAATTTTGGAATAGTTAATTGATATAATTAGTTTTTTTCATATGACTTTAAACAAATTAAAAAAAAAAAAAAATCACGCCAGTGAAAAAATTCGAAGGTTAATGAAATTAGTTCTCTATCCTCCTCCTTTAGTATAAACACTTTTTCTAATTGAATAATTAAAGACGAAGAAAAAGAAAAACTAGGCATATATATTGTTGTTTTTCTCAATCGAAGCATATGAACAAGTCCAACTGAGATAATAATGACAAGCTAGCCGACTTTGTACATACAAAAAAGCAATTAAGTGTGAGCAACTCGTTTGACAATAGAAAAATATAGCAAGTTATATATAAAAATATTTGCTTAGTTACAATTATTTTATTCTTTTCAAATTAATGTCTATAAATTTAATAGATTTCTAATTATCTTATTTATTCGTTCAAATAAGAAGAAAAGGATTAATTAAAAAAGAATTAATAAAGCTCTCAAGAAAGAAGGCAGGATGACACAAGACTTTTCTTGAAACTATCTGAATTTCATCGATATTGTGATATTGGCTTACTCTCACCGTAGTTACTTATTTTTTATTTAAATGTTTTTATTTTCTATTTTTTTAAATCTATAGTATGTTGATAAGCATGATTCCCTTTGTTATGGGAGATATGTTGGATAAATTGTTTGATTAATAGGTTGACGATATGGATCGGAAATGGATGTCATCTAATCGGTATTCAAAGGAATATATGGATGGGGTGAAATAGTTTATTAGTTCTGCAACTGAGCATGCAAAAAATCCTAGCAAAATTCTGTGTCCTCGCTTGTTATGGAAAGCGAATCAGTCCAAATTGAGTTGTTAGATCATTTAGTGTGTCATGAAATTGATCAATATTATACTGGATAGACAAGGCATGACGAGACGAATGAAGCATGTAGTGAGTGGGTGCATACCATGAGTTGCGCTTGGAATGGAGCATGTAGTGAGCGGGTGCATACCATCGCACAAGGATCACCAAAATAGGCCCAGCAAGTTGGTCGTGATGATTTATTTAGTAAGGCATTAAATTTATCTCAGGTTTCTGATCATGTTCAAGTTGTTGATTTTTGAGGTGATACAAACATATTACTTTGGACACCAATACAGCTCCAACAAAAGTGAAATTTCACAACTAAAAAAGGATATGAATTCCTTGAAGCAGCAAGTGTGGGCAGACCAAAAGCAAGTGCAAGAACAATGGGCCGAACAGACTCGACTATTGCAGGAACAAAACAATAAATTGTTTGAACAAGTGCAGAACCTAATACAGAGTCGGGTAGTGGGAGTTTCAAGATTTGATCGCCCAAGCATGAGGAAAGCTGTAATTCTATGCCTAAACTCACTCTCCCTTTGGTAATATCTTTTCTAATAAACTTCTCATTGCGTTATAATTTATTATACCCTAATCTATTTACTCCCCTATGTAGTAGGGTGAATCAATTTGCAAATTATATTTAGATCAATCTTTTAAGTACGCGGTTGCGGTGGGTGTTGTCTACAATAACGCTAATGAAATTTTACACAATTTTCAATTGCCTGCTAACACGCTACACGTAAGAATTGACATTTGCACCAATAATGATGCTCGATTGCCAATCCCTACACCTAATATGATGAAACAATGATTAAAGATGTTGAAAGTCATTTTGTTGCATCGCCTATTGATCTTATTAGGCCATGTGAAAAGGTAGTTAATTTGCACTTTTTTATAATACTACCTCCGGTCCTTATTATAAGACCCCGTTTGACTTTTTGTTTGGTCCTAATTATAAGACCCCAATCCATTTTGTCTCTCATATTTATGCATTTTTTTCCAAAATAATCCTTTTAATAATGATAGTTCTAGCCAATACACTTAATTAGCAAGGATATTTTAGGAATGACAACACTTATTTATTACAAATAACTAACTTAACTTACTTTCTTAATTTCCTCAAATAAGCCAACTGGGTCTTATAATTAGGACCGGAGGTAGTACTTTTCTACGTATATTTAAAATCTGACTTAGTTTCATGATTTTTGTAGGCTGTGCAGTCAAAAAGCAATCAAATGAAAGTGGTTGGGAACAATTATAATGGGTTGACAACTACATCCAAAAAGAAAAAGCTCAGCCACACGAATAAATGAAAACATCATGGTTAAAGATTTTGAAGGTGCATGTGTTTTTGTTGCATTCATGCTCTGATGATATTTTTGCAGTGCCTTGACTTGAAAATAGAGAAACATTTGAAATCTTATCGGATATTCTTGACTTGAAAAACAAACATTCTAAGACATTTCAATATTCATAAAATACAAATATGGCAGAAACGTATGTCTCATTCAATTACTTCAATATATGTATATTTCTTATCGTAAAATACATTCCAAGTCCATTTTCTCCTTGAACCCTTGAATAACGGCCAAACTTGAGCATCGCCTTCTTCTTTTTTTGCCATAGAAATAGATTAGTAAGGGGTGAGAACATACATCTTGCAAGCATGTGAATCTAATTCAGCAGAAATTTGTCCTGAAACTGATGTTTGTGTAGAGTGCTGCAACAATTCATAGTGAAATAAGTAAATCCACAATATGCATATATAATAATCATTAGAAATCAATATCAATATAAAATACTCCTCCGGTCCTTAATATAAGACCCATTTAACTAATTTGATTAAATTAAGGAAGTTAGATAAGTTAGTTAATTATGAGAAATGTGATATATTTTTCATAAAACACCATAATCATCTTTCTTAATACCTCATCTCCCTTTTTTATTTGATTATGGTTGAGAGAGTATCTATAGAGTAATTTAGAGAAAATTGATAAATGAGTCTTATATTTAAGATTAAAATCAACTTAACCATTGGGTCCTAAGAACCGGAGGAGTATAAAAAAAGGCATAGAAGCTATATTCTTCATAAGTACCAAATATTACAATTTATCATAAGCTCCATACAAATGCATGACACCCACTCTAGTAATTAATTAATAACAAAAATTATTCACAAGCTATGCTTTTATATGCTACAATTCATAGTAAAATAAGTTTTGAATTGATCTCTAACCTGCCATAAATCTCGAGCATCTACTACTTTTCCAGTGTCTAAGTCTATGTCCGACCAATCTGCAGTCACATTTGCTTTTGATGAACTTCTGTTCCATAAAACCACTGCTACTTTGTTATTACTGAGAGGACCAGCCCAAACCTGTCACATTTTTCCTCATTTAGTTGAAAGTCATCTTTGAGGGAGTCCATAATTGTACACAAACATGCAGGTATATTGTAAGACAACTTAAGACAGAAAAAGACATTATTACCTCCCAGCCGGCTTCACTTTTCATCTTCCTTCCTTGAACTCCTAGGTTGTCTGCAATATATACATCACAAGAAGATTTTAGAGCCTTATTATTTATTCTTTTCTCTTGGGTTTATGAAGAAAGTTAGGTGGACAAAGTAGCTTCATGCCTTGGTTGACATCGA